AATAGCTCATGCTACAGGAAAGGCAAACTTATTTATTCTTGTCTTCCAAGTATTACTTAATTTTTAACAAGATAATTTCAGTATTATACCGTTGTACTATAAACACTACATGTTCTATGTTTTCTCCAACCAAAAAAAATAAAATAAAAAAAATACAATTATGTTCTGACAAAACAAAAGTTAAATAAATCCTGAAATCTTGGCAAAGAGTAAACTTATATAAAGCTAATAAGACCATCAAAATGCAGACATCTTTAGGTAAAACTAACATACCCTTTACCAAAAAAAACCAATTTCTTCAACAACAACCAAAACCTATACCCCCCCCCCCCCCTCCCTACAAAACAGAAACTAAAAATAAACACCTAAACATTTGGTAAAAATAAACTGATACATAAAGATAATAAGACCATAAAAATCTGATTTTTCTGCTTCAAAAATAACCCTAAAAAATAAGTAATACAGCAAAGTCTAGCCCCTTAATTTGTTCCGTTCTTCTTTTCTTGAATAATATTACAGTTAAAGCAAGAAATTAAGTACATTGCTCACACCCTAAGGATTAAAGGAAAACGAATGATTAAATAAATAAATACCCAACTCAGAAAAGAAAAACTTGCACCTGAAGTTAGTTTCTCACAGAGTGCCTTTTGGGTCAAAAATTTCTCGCGATTGAAGTAGTTTTCTCACATTTAATCGTGCCTTCTAGATTTTTCCTTTGTTCTTCTTTGTTGCCTTCTCTTCTTCGAATAACAGAAAAGGATTGAGACTTTGGGGATTTGAAGATTTGGGCTAGGCCAGTGATTTGATTTGAGGATTTGGGGATTTAGGGTTAGCCATAGATGAAATTCTCAAGGTTAAAGGAAACAACAATGAAAGGGGTTGAGAGCTTTCGAGGTACGGTGTTGATGCCTTTGAATTCTAGGGGTTGGGGAGATGAATGGGTTTATTGGGAGATAGCTTTGGAGTTATCGACAGTGGAATATTTTTGTTATTTAATTTATATTAATTAATAAAATAAATAAGGGTTTGGCGGGTTTAGAAAAATTTAAGGGAAAAAAAACCGTACCGATATAACATTTTTATCAAAAATCTTTCTCGTAAACAGATTTAGTGGGACGGTTCACAAAAACGTTATGAAAAAAACCCTATGGCAACGGTGATTTTGCAATAGGAACAGTTTAATAGCTCAAGTGTGCTGATATCTTTCCAATGCTACTGTAACGGTTGTAACCGTTATAATATCCACTCTATGGCAACGGTTCCTTAACCGTTGCTATGATAACTGTTGCCATAGGCTCATTTTATAGTAGTGACTAATCTAGATTATCACTAATGATGCTGAAATTAAGTTAAGTATGATATCTTTTTGTGATGTTTTCTTAATTTATGGAAAGGCATTAGGGAAGTGACTTTCCCCTAGGTGAATACTTGACGGGTTCTAAAGCGTAAGTCAAAGTTGTTATGTTTGGGATTGCGGTATGCACGAAACTACTCACTCTATACCTCTCGATAGCTTGAGTGACTTTGCCCTAATTGGCTTTCTCAAGACCAATTGGGTGTCAAAATTGTGCAAGCAATATAGGCTCAAGTCGGGTATTACTATCTCTAGGTTTAACCTTTTAACTGAGGCGATCAATCTCTTGAATACGCCCCAATTCCTTGTTGGAATGATTTTCCTAGACTCAACCTCTCTTTCTCAAGAAGAGCCTAAGTCAAAAAGGCACAAATTAGTGTTTGCAACCACTAATTCAACATGGAAAACACAGGCCAAATATCAACCACCCATAAACATCTAAGCCCTAAAACAAGAGACCCGTCAAATACTCACACTAGGGTTGAGCCACAACCCTAGCTAATGGGTCTAGCTACTCATAATAATGGAAGAAATCAGATATTGAGATGAAGAATAACCCATATAATATAATTACAAGCTAAGGTTTGAAGATTCAATGTTAAACTAGCTACAAAATTACTCAAAATAGCTAAAAAAAAACGGCGTTCACATGCTCAGCTACAGATAAGACGACCTAAAAATCTGAAAAAGAAGTATTTATACAAGGCCGAATTTTCTGGACAAAAATGCCCCTGAAGGAGGTACCGCGAAAAATGGACTGCGTCCGTGGTGAGGCTACTGCGGCCGCGTAAAATCAACCGCGGACCGCGGTTAAGCCTTTTTGGCTTCAAATCTTGTTCTCTGAATCTAGCCACCGCAGACCGCAATAAATGGACCGCGACCGCGATGGCTTCACCGCTGCCACATAAAATCAACCTCGGTCAGCTGTGTCTTGAAAACTTCCAAACTTCAGGCTCTTTGAATCTCTTCTCTGCGGACCGCAACAAATGAACCGCGGTCGCGATGAGGCTACCGCGGCCGCGTAGAATTAAACACGACCCGCGTTGCTTGAAATTCCAGGATTGCATCTTCTCTGATCTTTCCCACCGGGGACCGCGATAAAAGAACCACGGTCGCGGTGGGTCTATTACAGTCGTGGTGGATTTACTGCTGTAGCGGTGCATTGACTTGTTCTAGGCACTTGTGCAGGTTTCACTCCTTTTTGAGCTGGTTTTGACTTCCTTGTCACTTTTTGACCAAGCACTGCAAAAAGCACAACATGTAAGCTTTCGGGATTACTTGTATACACTTTTAATCCAAAACTCAAGCAAAAAGGAGTATAAAATATACTAGAATCCCTAGTTATCAGTGACCTCGATAGCTCCGAAGGTAGGTGTCTTGCTCGGGCCCTGATACGAGAGGCTCCTGATTTTGAATCTGATTCCTTACGATCGTATCCCTGCTCTATTTGCCTCACCGGGAAATCGGAATGCTCATTGTACTCGGTTTCACCCGTATACAGTTTGGAGTGATACAATTAGCTCGAAATCATTCATTTTTAGAATTCAACACAATTTTCTAGTGAAATTAACCCTAAGCATTTTGGAAAATTTGTTGTTTCACCTCTTATTCAAAGAAACATAAGAGGTGAAATTTAAGAACTCTTAAAATATGAGTTTAACTAATTTCCATTTTGGACATTCTCATGGACGTTGCCAATTTGATTTATCGATTTCCCGTAAACACCGTCATGTAACCAAAATAATATTTTTAATGCTCAGATTCAACAGAGGTAATAAGAATGCTCAATTTAGGTAACCAAGTTTTTTACTTAATTATCTCTGAATACAAGTCGATCATGCTACGATTGAGAGGCACAGTGGTGAAACACAGTTACAGAGAGATGAACAGAGTAGCTGATCTGATGGCAAAGGAGGGAGCAAAGAAAGACCTTTTTGGAAGAACGGCAATCGTGGCAGTTCCTCCGGTGTTTGCAAATGAAGCTTTTTGGACAGACATCCTAAGAATTATTTTTTCTAGAAAAATTATGGACCGTAATATTAATAACGTAGAACAAAATTTAGGGCGTACTTCATATCCCCGGACGATGTATCTATTTCCCGTTAGTTGCTAATATATATAATCATCCTTTTAACCAAATATATTTCTTTTTTTTTAATGCACCATAAAAATCGATCTCCTAAAACAAAGACATTAATAAGAATCCCCAAAAAAACGCACACCCATTGCACCGCAAGATTGCACGTTCCCAACACTTAAGTCGCATTATTAAACAAATGTAACCACATAAAATTAATATAACACAATTAATCACTAAATTGATGACATCCATGCCATGTTACGTTTCATTTCATATATATGTTACAATTACAAATGATCACCAACGTAAAAAAATACATAACATGTCATGAACACCATGATTATAAAAAGAATCTTTGCTGGTTAATTGATATGGCATGGAATTAAAAATATTTACGTGCCTCCATATAAAGCTTGGTTGAAGAAGAACGTCTTTTTTGACTCCCTAAATAATAATATCGCCATATAAATTGGAACAACAGATCGAGGGAGTAATAATTGTTTCTATACACATTGATTAAACCTTGTTCGCACAAGGTGGAGGACTAAAGTTTGGTAATACAAATTTACCATTGTTATGGCACATATCGAAGCATTCTTTTTCTGCATATAATGGACTACCTTCACCAGCAAAAATACCTTTATAACATTTTTGATAACATAATTCATGTCCTGGTTCTATCTTCAACCTCAGTCCTGCATATTCATATACTGGCCCTTCAGAACCCTGGGGTTGTGGGTGGGGTTGTGGGTGGGGTTGGGGTTGGGGTTGGGTGGGGTGAGGTTCGGGTTGGACGTGGGTGTTGGGGTTGAGGTTGGGGGGTTGAACATGGGGATGTATTTCCTCATGTGCCCATGCAAATTTGCTTGAAGCAAAGATAGTGAAAATTATGGCCATGAAAAGTATAGTTGTCATCTTGATATTAGCCATTATTTCTTTTAGTTTCCCTCTGTTCTTTCTTGTTGTTTGTTTTTTTTAATGAGAAAGTTAAAAGGGAAATAAAAAAGAGAATATGAGAATGATAGGGAAAAGGTTGGATTTTATAGATGGGAGAATAATAATTTTAATGGATGTCCATGAATACTAAGGGAGGAGAAAGGATGTCCATAAAAAATCTAATGTGGTCAAGAGAGAAATAAGGGAGGAAACAAGTGAAATTAGAAAATTTTGACAGAGTTTTAGTTTTATATATTGATCGTATAAAAAAAATACTTATAGAATTGGGTCATTTAATAATGTAATTACAACTAAATTTCAAAAATAAATATTTATAGTCAACCTGATAAAAGTGGTAATTTTACCTGATAATACATAATTAAAACACGTTTTCAGCATAATTTTTTTTATACGATCAGTATATATACTTAATATATTTTTGACTTAGGGTTAAAATTGTTCATGTCTTTTTCTAATTTATTGTTTCTAATAATGGATAACAACTTTTTTTTAGAGCTGCATTTCTGCAAGAGTCTGTTTCCACGGCTGGAACGCGTGTCACAGGGCAGCAACTTTACCAGCTACGGCTTACGCCAAGGCTCCCCTTCCAGCAGTTCTGAAATTACTTTAGGCAAGAACATCTAAGTATATTGTTTAATAACAAACCTGCCACCCTCTTCCAAGGAGAAAAACAGACACAAACAGTACCACCTTTTGCTGAAATTCCATAACAGAACAAGACTACACAAATAATGATATATCAACAAACAAAGATTATCTCAGTTCTGCTACTGATGATGAATCTACCTCTGATCTTGATGAAGAGTATAGGTAAGGCTTAGGAGGTATTTGCAAAGAGTAGTCTTGGTTTCCTTCTAACATTTCCACAACTTTGCTCATCGATGGTCGATTCGAGGGATCAGTCTGTATGCACCATAAACTCATTATCACCATCTTTCTTGCACATTCTTTCTCCTCTTCGTTTGTTATCCCGATTAGTTGAAGCTCTTCATCTAGTTCAATTCGTCGATAGAGCCAATGTGGAAAGTAGATTTCACTTGTGCGATCAACTCCAACATCAACATTCTTCCTTCCTCCAACCATCTCTAGGACCATCATTCCGTAGCTATAGACGTCAGACTTGTGAGAGACACCTCCCAAGTTTCTGCATACTATTTCTGGAGCTATATAACCGATAGTCCCTCGTGCACCTAACATTGACACAACACTCTCCTTTTTGACACAGAGTTTTGCAAGACCAAAGTCGGAGATCTTAGGACAAAAATCGTCATCAAGTAGGATATTATGAGGCTTTATATCAAAATGCAAAATCCGAGTGTTACAACCACGATGCAAGTACTCCAATCCTCGAGCAATGCCTAGTGCAATTTTGTACAATATTGGCCAACCCAATTTGCGAACATTGTCAGATCTTTCCTCATAGATAAACTTTTCAAGAGATCCATTTGACATGAATTCATAAATGAGTGCTCTTTTGCGACCCTCAAAACAAAATCCCACAAGGCTCACGACGTTAACATGTGATGTCCTGCTAATACTTGACACCTCGTTAATGAATTCTTCACCACTTCCTTTTAGCTCATTCAGGACCTTCACTGCCACATGACTTCCATCGGGAAAAGTTCCTTTGTATACAGAGCCAAATCCTCCTTGACCTAGTTTGTTTTTGAACCGGCTGGTGATTCTTTTGACCTCTGAATAGTTGTATCTCTTTGGAGCATATGATCCATAGTTCTTCAGAAAGGCTTCAATATTTCGGTGATCCTCAGCTTCAGATTCCCAAAACCTGAAGTATTTGTGCCAGAAAATCTTTTTTCTGAAGTAGAAGAGCAAAATCAAGATTCCAGTGCAAAACATCGAGAAAACTGCAAATGTGGGAAAAAGTGAAGTCATGCCCATGTAATAAATCTCTTGGCGATTATTACAACAACGCTAAAATAGCTTTTAGTAGAAAGAAAAACATTGCACACTTCGACGAAAAGTGACGGGCACCAACAAGAAAGGAAGAACTTTTGGCTACTTCGCCAAGTTTCTTTCTTATTCCGTTGATCAAGGTGTTGATAGCTAGAATCAATCTCGGTATGGATATGCATAGAGTTTTCATAACATCGAAGCTACATGTATGGGTCAGAATTCGACCCCACGATAATTAACGAGGCTAATCCCGTTTTAAGTTAATTCATGATTAATTAATGGCACGACCACTCAGAATTGACGATGTTCAACCCGCATCTGGTTCGATCGACAAGGCCATGGCCTATCCGCCACCATAAAGGCGAGATCCCAAAGTGGTCACGGCCACTTATCGCCAGATCACGAAGCTCACAGCTATAAATACTAAGAGTGGAAGTCCTAGAAAAGGGGGCTGCTTCTTCACCACTTAGAGAGAGAGAGAAGAGAAAAACACACCCATCTTATGGGAAGTGAAAACACCATTGTAAGGCTCTGAACCTCTTCATGGAGAGGCAGACCAAGCCAATATTATCAATAAAGGCTTCCATTGTTTCTCCCCCTAACCTTGAGTACTTATTTTCATGTTCTTCGCTTGGTCCAATGGATTATTACGATTTGCTATGATTTTTCCGTAACTTATTTGTATTGTTTTGCACTCATAAAGCACATGATAACTTTTGAGCAAACACTACACCTTCTCACAAGAGCTTTCTTCTAGAGTTCGTCCGAAAGATTAGAAGATAAATTTCTTACAGGTATTTATTCATACTTCCTTGTTTAGTCTAAACAAATTTTAAACACAAATAAATCTTGGTAGGATTGTTATTTTGATTTCGCAGCATGTTTAGAACATCGTTATAGAATCCTTCATTAACATAAAAAAGAATTTTAAGTTTGAGCAAACCAAAAAAGAGATTTTGTGCAAGTCTAGATACAGATAAAAGTTAATGATTATAGACATGTACCTATGCCTCGAATCAGTCCCCAATCTTTTTCTGCTGCTGCAAGAACACACAAATGATAGATTAATTAGTCACAATAAGACTGAAAGCAATGCACTTCCATTCACATGATAGTATAAGCTAAGCCATCACAACTCGAGTAGTTCTCATAACTTTGAAAATAACCATCAATCTGCATACTGTTATTAGTGCATATGAACAAAGTGATATTGTTGTCGACCCTAAAGTCTAAACAAAACATGAGAAGAGAGGTGGGAAAATTTGGTTCCAATTCTTCCACAATCGAACTCTTTTCGGCAAGATTTACTCGCTCCTTGAACTAAGTTGAAGATAGCAGATGAAACATAAAAGAACACAGCAGAAAAAGAGGCTCCGGCCATTAGTCTTTAACTTTAAACTTCAACAAGTAACATGCAGAAATAGAAAAGTTATAGACTATAACATACATAAATAGAAAAGTTATAGACTAGGCAGCCTGGTGCACTAAGCTCCCGCTATACACGGGGTCCAAGGAAGGGCCAAACCACAAAGGTCTATTGTACGCTGTCTTGCCCTGCATTTCTGCAAGAGGCTATTTCCACCGCTTGAACCATTGACCTCCTGGTCACATGGCAGCAACTTTAGCAGTTACGCCAAGGCTCCCCTTCAGAAAAGTTATAGACCAAATACCCAAAATTAATGTTCTCCAGTTCACTCTTAATCCCTCTCACACTTGACAATGGACTTTCTGATCTTCTACCAATGATTCAAGAAACAGGCATGCCAAAGCATCTTCATAAAGCTCAAGAGTGATCTTCCAAGAAAATACGGTAAGGCTTCTTTCTAGTAAAGGAAAGGATTCCATTCATGAATCTTGACATTAAGATTATGATCTACACAGATGTGTGAAACTTGGCAAGGCGTCTAGTCCTGTCAATCTTAACTTAGATTCTGCTAGTTGTCATTCACAAATAGTTACGCACTTCTGTAACTATGAGAGTAGAAACCGACTTTTATTTCATTCACACCTATATGTTTTCGCTTTGGCCTTATGCCTTTAGAGGACCTTGAGTCTAAAGAAGGAGATTAGGTAACCTATTAGATTGAGAAAAGAATTAAAGAAGTCTTCAATTGGAATCCTGCTATACATAACAAAATACTGCTAGTGAAACCACACGATCAACCGGACAAGAGGTCAAACCCCAAAATGCATGGATTAATAATCAGAACAAGACATGATTCAACAGAGAAAGATATTATCAGCTATAAGCCTATAAGGGAAATTCCTTGGCTGCACAAATTTTGTGGTATTTACACATTTTTAATCATCCACTTCCACAGCATAATCCAAATGCTTAATTCAGAAGTATCTTGATGCCAAGATCATCAAGCGACACTTTTTGTCACGAAAAAAACTTAAAGAGCAGTGCCTAATCATAGCATAAGGTTCGGCACAATTATACTGGGAATTAACAAGAGAGGGGCTTACTGGTAGGTCTGCAAGTCGCTGAATGAGGCCTGTCGGTGCAGAAACATTTGAATTGATAGGGATTTTCATCAAATCCACAACGTCCTCCACTTTCTGCACACTCACTGCAGTCACTGGATGACCAGCTCAATCTAAACCCCCTTCTCAATAGCAGTTGATAGTCAAGAACTTGATTGCTTCCCTCATCTCCAAGCATGTCTACTGGTACCATTACATGGTTTTTGCACACTTGTAATGCAAACTCGAAGCTTTCATCCTCAGCAAACATAGCAACACCCCACTCATTTCTATTTTCTTCACCACAACCAAAACCAATCTTGTGCTTCAAAAGATGCTCGGGTATCGACTCATTACACTTGGACAACAAATATATTCTTGATTCATTGACAAATTTAAAAGGGCGCTTATCGAGTGAGATGTTCTTGATCTCAGAAACACAACCATTGTTTGTAGTACTATTAAAGACTGAATTTTTCAGCTGAAAAGTATGATCTTGATATGAAATCTCTTCAACTATATACTCATTTTCAGCTATGTAAAGAACTGGAAAGCCTTGTTCACTACAATTTAACCCAAATCCAGGGTATCCACAATAAGATTCTTGCTCATCTTGAATATAATATGGAAAATTTATTTTTGGACCATTTTTGCAATTTATAGGCTGACATGCTACATACTGTGGATCTACAGCAGAACATTTACCTAGGATTAAGGAGAATATACAAAGGTTTAATGATGTTATCAAGATGTACCTGTTTTCTTGGTTCATCTGTGATCTTGAGCAGCTGAAAATATACAACCAGAGACAAGCAGATAATAAAAATAAGATAAGGAAGGAGGCTCGGATTTTTCCCTTTTCCCTTCTTGTTGGTAAAAAAAAAGATGGCTTCATTTGGTATACATATCTCTGCAACTAGCTCTGACACAAGACTTGACTCTCTGACACAAGACTTTACTCTGTATCTACATCATATCTAGCAAAGTAAACTTGACTCGGGTCAAGTTTTTAACAAAAAAGTCGCATGTATTGACCAGTAAACTCTTTGACTAGTAATACAAATGTCTGCTTTGGAGATATAGGGCGTGTTTCTTTTCTATATCAAATTCATCATCATCTTCTTCATCTTTTCTTCTTCTTCTTTTTTTTAATGAGATTTCAAGAAATCAATATAAGGCTATTAAATTACAATATTTCTAGACTAACCACAACAACAACAACTAGTCTTTAGTCTTCAGTCCCAAACAAGTTTGGGTTGGCTTAAAATATTTCTAGACTCACTGACATTTTTACTACTAAATGGTTAAATTCATCTTGAGGCCAACATTCTACATTTGCTAGACTAACGAATACTACAAACTTTATAAAGTCAAAATTCAATATGAAAATACAATGATACTAAATTAAAGCCTCAAACATGAATCATAGTAAGAGCAACAAACAAACAAACTGTACAACACACAAACCTCCAAATCATACTAAAAGCCTTTTTTTCTACCCTTTGTTTCCATAACATATAGAGTTCTTCTAAAGATGTCTGGACCATTGTATAAAAAAGGGCAGCCCGGTGCACTAAGCAGTAAGCTCCCACTATGTGCGGAGTTCGGAGAAGGGTCGGATCACAAGGGTCTATTGTGTGCAGTCTTACCCTGCATTTCTGCAAGAGGCTGTTTCCTCAGCTTGAAACCGTAACCTCCTAGTCACATGACAGCAACTTTACCAGTTACGCCAAGGCTCCCCTTCGTCTGAACCATTGTATAGGTTCAAGAAATTGCGGTGCTTGATTGAGGTTGCTCGACGTGAAACAGCGCAACATGAGGAAAAAAAATGAGACTATAAAAATAATAGCTTGCATATCAACAATAAGAAGGGAGGTCTTGGGATAACTGGTAAATTTGTTGTCTATCACAAGTTCGAGCCGTGGAAGTAAATTTGTTGCCATCACAAGTTCGAGCCGTGGAAACAGCCTCTTGCAGAAATGCACAGTAAGACTGCCTACGATAGACACTTGTGGTCCAGCCCTTCCCCGGACCCATGCATAGCGGGAGCTTAGTGCACCGGGTTGCCCATATCAACAATAAAGACCAGGTCAATTCTATTACTTGATCTCAGAAACACAATGCTTGTATTACTATTAAAGACTGAATTTTTCAGCTGAAAAGTATGATCTTGATATGAAATATCTTCAACTATATACTAATTTTCAGCAATATGTACAACGGGAAAGCTTTTTCACTACAATTCAGTCCAAATACTGGGTATCCACAATAAGATTCTTGCTCATCTTGAATATAAAATGGAAAACTTATTTTTGGGCCATTTCTGTAATTTATAAGCTGACATGCTATAAATTGTTGATCAATAGCAGAATATTTATCTAGGATTAAGGAAAATATACAAAGGTTTAATGATACTATAAAGATATACATGTGTTCTTGGTTCATTTGTTATCTTGAGTAAGGGGTTTAGGTAAGTCGCTGAAGGTATATGCGACTTTTCTTTCACTTTTTCATTTAAAAAAAAAAAAAATTTGCTTGGATGTGTTCCGGCAAACCAACCTTCACCAGTTTGGCCAAATTGATATTCTATGATATTTTTGTAAAAATTAAGTGGGCGTTTGGACATAAGAATTGTAAAATTCTGGAAAAAAAGTGAAAAAATATTTTAAGTGAAAATGATATTTGAAAATTAAAGTTGTGTTTGGACGTGAACACAATTTTTTTCTTTTTGTATTTTTGTGAGTGAACTGAAGTAAAATTTTGAAAAACAACATTTTGGAGTTAGCGTAATTACTAGGGTAGTAATTACACAGTCTAGTAATTACACAATTGTGTAATTATGATAATTTGTTTGTTTGTCATAATGTAATTACAAGTTTACTGTTTGGTTGCACAAGTGTAATTACACGGTTAGATTAAATTTTAAATGAAGTAATTATCAAAACTTAAAAGTTAATATAATAAATATATGCCTACAAAATTTTATAAGTATAAATAGATATTATATTTAGTATTTAAGATGCATATTTTTTCGTATATATAAATTAATTAGTAATCATATATTTATAACTAATATTGTAAAAATAATTTTATATATATTTTTCAAATAAATAATATTTAGTTTAGATTCTTACAAAAACTAAAAATATACATTTTGTAAGAACATTGTTTGATAAAATAAATTAATGTTTATAAATATAAAATCATAACATTATTTAAATGTTTGACAAAACTAATCTATCAATTTCTAACTAAAAAATGAACAACACGCAATGTGAGTCAATACTACTAAAACAAGTAAATTGGAACCATGAATATTACACAATTTCAAAATTAAAAAAAAATAGTTTAACATATGTCAAATTCCAACTAATAATAGTAAGTTCTACTACAACTTAAAATTAGGAAACATAATAAGTTTATAACCACATTCAACAACGAAATTCTACTTTAATTACATCACTCATTATATGTCAAGTTTGTTAATGACTCGTTATTTCTAATATTAGGAGGTGCAATTTCAAAAAATAGAATAATAAAATAAATAATAAATAAAATATATGAAATTTCATGAAATCACAAGAAGTAAAGGCAGGAAATAAAAGATAAATAATATACAAAGAAAAATAAAAGATAAATAATAGAAACAAAAAGTTATAAAGAAAATAAATTAAAATAAAAATAAAAAAGAAAGAAACTAAAAAGCAATCTTGTAATTATATAGTGTAATTACCACCAATTCTCATCCCCCTACCCCTTGAGAATTGGAGAGTGTAATTACGTTCCTCCAATTATACCCAATTACATATTGACCGAGTAATTACTTGGCTAAACAAATATGTCAAATTATGTAATTATACCCAAATTTATTTCCAATATGACTTTCCAAACAGGTTCATAAATAACTTTTGGTGCTATGAATCCACCAACTTATAACATTATTGCTAGTGGACTGGACCATTTATTTGCTTATCTTGGTATATGGAACAAATGGGCCCACTCATGTAGGGCCCATTACACACCTTTAACAGCCTGTTAAGAGTTGTTGGAATCAACAGGGTGCAGAAGTGGATAATTTTCCTAGGATTTATTGTTATGGGAAAAAATAAGTTTTTAATAAATCCAAGAAAAATTGCCTGCCTAAAAACTTTTTTGTCTTCTTATTTTCTTTGATGTTGGAAGATACTTAAAAGAAAAAGGGAGTAATATTGGCATGATGAGAACCGAATTCTTATATCAAATTTATAGTAAGTATAATATAATGTGACGGTTCTACCAGTGAGTTATCACTTAATTCGTTATTCCTAAATTTTTTAATATGATCGACAAATATATTATTTCTATCTTGACATCTATGAAAAGTTGCTCCCGTTCTTGTCTAGTGGTTAGGACATCGTCTGTTTATGCTGCTTTCACTTAGTGTTCGTTGATGAGTGATCGCTCGCTATCTAGTTGGGGAAAATGGTCCGGAAACTTTCTCTATCTCAACAAGCAAGACAAGATCACCACTTCGTTCAGTACTAAACTTCTTTTACTTCGAAACGATCAGTAAAATATAACATAGATGATCCGTAAATAAAATACATGAGCCTTTGCAAGATTATTTTCTTCTATTTAAGTTGTAAGTAGATACTGGCGATCATCGTCGGACGAATAATATCATACTAACATCGTACACCACTAAATTATGGACCCTAATTTATGTGTATAGAAACTAGGTAGAGGTCAATTTTGATATATAAATGTTTCAATGTACTGAAGCACTTGATACCACACTATCACCTAGTTGATTCACAGTATCAATGGTCTATAGGTCAAGTCATTTTCATAATACTATAATACTCTTTGTCACAATCAAACCTTATTGTTATTTTTCCAACTGAAATCCACTCACCTGTTTTTCATTAATGCATTTGAAATAAATGCTTGTTACATCAAATCATGTTTGGCTCTTGACATCTTAGGATTCTTGTTCAATTTCAAAGTACTTACATATTTTTGAATAGGTTATTTATTACTTGTGACCATTAGAAGTCGTTTGGTACACGAACTAAATTATTTCGGGATTATAATTCCGGGACTAATTTATACCACATGAGAGATGGGATAAAGGGTGTGTTTGGTATGAAGGAAAACATTTTCCGGATTTTTTTTTTTCAATTTTCTCATGTTTGGTTGGTTTAAATATTTTGGAAAACATTTTCCTTATCAACTCATTTTCTTCCAATTGGAGGAAAATGTTTTCCTTATCAAGAGAAGGGAAAACATTTTCCAAAACTCCTTCTCAACCTTCCCCACCCTCACCAATCCACCGCACCCCCTCTCTCCAAAAAAGGCTTTTTTATTTCAAATTTCAATTTTTCCATTACCACACATTCTACTACCCCTCCACCCCTACCCCCTCCTGCAAATTTTTTTAGTATTTTTTTACCTTTTTTTTGTAATTTCAAATTTCTGTTTTTTCGTTTTTCCCTCCCCCCCCCCCCCCCCCCAAAAAAAAATTTACTTTTTTTTTGTAATTTCAAATTTTTATTTTTTGTTTTTTCTAATATATTTTTCAGTTCTAGTTTTTTTATTTATCGGTTTAAAGGTTCAAAATTTTACAAGTTTCAAAGCTATGAGTTTGGAGGTTTATGTGTTTGGAAGTTTACGAGTTCAGAAATTATAATGTTTACGGGTTCGAAATTTCGCGGTTTTGAAAGTTTATGAAATTTATGGGTTCGGAAGGTTGTTGGTTTGAAAGTTTATGGCTTCAGATTTATTATATCTAAATTATTTATGATACTCTTGAGAAGTCATTTTCCTTAATTTGCGTACCAATCACCGAAAAATGAATAAGATTACTACTTGTTTTCTTGGAAAATATTTTCCGCTATACCAAACACACCCAAAATAATCCCACATTTGATGGGATAAGATGAGATATCCTAGATTAAGTCTTGGATTAAATTTATACCTTGTTTGGTTGGAGGTATAAATTAATCCCGGGACAAAATAAATTTATACCTCCAACCAAACAAGGTATAAATTAAATAATACATCTTATCCCACTTTATACTTCATACCAAACGATTACTTAGTCCTTTGGAGTGACGTTTTACATTCCTTTTTTTCTGAAACATCCTTTTTATCTGTACAAGGTAAGGGTAAAGTTTGCATATACACTATCATCTCCACAATGGCGAAGCTAAGAATTTTTCTATGGGTGTTCAAACTTAAAAGAAGTACAAGAACTCCCGATAAAGGATGTTCAATAGTACATGTTATATACCTCTAAAACTTAATATTTTATCCATATACACAAGCCAATGATGCTTAGCTGGTCTTTTCGGATGATCAGCCATACTGGGACTGAAACACGGCCCGGACTCCCACGGGGGGCAGTAGTGGGGAATCTTGGACAATGGGCGAAAGCCCGATCCAGCAATATCGCGTGAGTGAAGAAGTGCAATGCCGCTTGTAAAGCTCTTTTGTCGAGTGCGCGATCATGACAGGACTCGAGGAAGAAGCCCCGGCTAACTCCGTGCCAGCAGCCGTGGTAAGACGGGTGGGGGTGGGGGTGGGGGCAAGTGTTCTTCGGAATGATCGGGAGTAAAGGGCACGTAGGCGGTGAATCGGGTTGAAAGTGAAAGCCGCACAGTGTAATTCCGATGAAGGGCGGTCAATTAACCACCCTTACCAGAGCGTAGCTTCGGCCCTACATCCCCAGATCCTACTTACGAGATTACACTAAGTTTTTGTTGTTGTTGTTGTTGGAATTCTCATCTAGTATCAGGTACCCGTTTTAAAGTTCGACTAATCCGAATTCGTACACTCATGCAAGTATCTCAATATCAACTACAATGTGACCAATATGTTTTTTTTTTTTGATTAGTATTTACGATTCAGCTTGAAGAAATCCCATGTCAAATGCAGTCATCTTGTGATCAGAATAAAACATAAAAGGCATTCCTTTCTGAAAAAGAAAAAAAAATACATTTAAAATGACTCTATCAAGATTCTTTTTATAAGAGAAAACTAGTATACGTACCCGCGCAATGCGCGGATTATTTCAAAGGAGAAAATGATATAGTAAAAACAGGTCTCTAATGTAAAGTAAATTTAGCGATCACATCCAAAACAATTAAATCAAAAAACAAATATATGAATTTCATTGGATTGCAACTATAATAGGGGCCAGCAATATTTATGCACAAAAGCATGATTAGCAGAGAAGGTTGGGTAGCTGTAATAAGCCAAAAAGGTGAAGTAGATTTCCCAAAATTCGCTTCCGGTTCATATATTAAAAAAATAAAGAACAGTTATACATGTGTGTAATTCACAGTAATTAAGACATCACCTTTTGTTGTGGTGTACCTTGGATCACAAGTATATGAGAAAAATAAGCAAGTCAGTCATGTTGGTTGTTGATATAACGACAGACTCACATGGATAACTAAGATGTAGGAAATATCCAATTCTTGTTGGCGTAATCTATATAACAGTTCAAGTGTTAGATGAAATGCATACATTAAAAGGAGCAGATTCAGCAAATGAAAATGAAATAAGGATATCCAAATTATGAAACAATGAGGAATTCAGATACCAGATTCAGTGCAACTATGTGAAGTGCATCTGCTCCAGCAACAATCTCCAATATCTCGCCGGTGATCCTCGCCTGCCTTTCCCGGTTATAAGCAATCGAAAGGTTCCTCTTTAAGTCAACTGCATCATCCGTGGCATTACTCATTGCATTCATCCTAGCAGCAAACTCACTGGCAAATGAATCTTGAAGTGCCCTAAAAATCTGGCTACTCAAATAGAGTGGCATCAAAGCATCAAAAATCTGAGCTGGATCTTGCTAAAAGTCTAATTAACACAACTAACTTTCCCTTTTAACCCTCAAATGATCCCTCTCAACAATCATTTCCCCCTCCTTAGTAGTCAACCTAAGAACTCATCTTCATCTACATCAACTCTTTTCCCATTAACATCAAGAACCTCTCGTTTCGACGAAATTGGAAGCAACGTATGTATTATTGGATCTGATTTAATGAATGAAACAAATATAGTATACAATGCAGCTCCTGCTTCTTGCGCAATTCTTCCTTCAAAAGTTCTAAACTTTCCACCTTTTTTTGCACAGCTGGTGCAGCTTTGGGAACATTATGAGCCACAGGCTTAGGTAGACCAGAAGAAGGTAACAGCACAACAGGACCATGTTCAGCAGCTTTTGAGGCTAAGGACTGGATATTGTCTTTTCCTTTATAAGGAAAAGATAGGTGGGGTTGACCCACACTGGATGTTAATGATGGAGTATATTGGAGTAATGCTACATAAGTATTTGGCTTTAAAAAGGATTAGTCCACCTGAAAAACCAGAAATTTATCTTTAGTTATTATCAGGAAAAATAAAGAGCAGTCATACAAATGTGTAATTCACATTAATTAAGACATCACATTTTATTTAATTGTACTTTGGATGAGAATTGTATAAGAACATGAGCAAGGTTCCGAACCAGTATATGAGAACATGAGGAAGTGAATAGGCAACTTCATGGAGAAAAAATTAGACTACATAGTTAGCTGGTCAGAAGCAAACCTTAGACATCAGAAGAATGTTCGCCGTCACTAAGTGTAATAACTTTCAAGACATCATCTTGATTCTTACCGTTGGAACTCTTAACCTCCACTTTAAACATAAACTTTTTATCAACAATATTTTCTATCTCCATTGGACATGAAGAGTCGTCTGCAGCACCATAATTCTAACAAAAAGGACATAATCACAACGGTCAACAGAAGCTACAACAACAAAAAGCAAATGTAATATGGTGTACACATATATTTTATTCCATATTAGAATGGATTTAATAGTTACAAAGATAATGCTTCAATTCTCACAGTAAGTTTGTTATTAAGCATAAGCTAAATACCAGGAACAATACACTAAACAAACCTACTAAAATAAAAAAAGGAAAGTAGAACATCAGAAACTAAAGTGAAAGCATAAGTCTTCTGAAGTAGGATCAAAATAAAGTGAAACATAAATCAAAATTCAAACAACATTTATGTTGTTTAAAAGACACCAAACTACAACTATCTTAACTTTATCAAAACTTAGTCACAACTAAGAATAGAGAACTATTACCATCATTTCAAACTTATCAACCCTTTAAAGTAAATCTAAAAAGAGCAAATGCATACGGATTTAGCAAAATAAGCTCATTCGACTTTAAAAAAATCCAAACAGAAAGAGCAATAAAGCATGATATGTAAAATAAATGATTATCAAGGGTTAGAAGCATAAAAGACACAAGAAAGCAAAAAGAAACCACGGCACATGGGAACCAAAGGAATATATATGGTAAAAAGGTAAAGCTACTTACCCTTACACAGTGATTTGCTTGTTGCTCGGTCAAACTCACTTTTTTGCTTTCATAGTTATAGAAATAACACTATATGAGAATTCAAAGTAAATTAAATGGCAGAAGTAGCCATTCTATATTCAGTCTGATAATTGCATTGTGTATTACAGTTGCAACAACTACTGAAGTTGCTGAAACAGTAACAAAGAAAAACATTGCGTGTTTTATTGATGCATTTCCTTCCGCGAAAAAATTAATTTCTGCAGATAATATATAGCATTTGTTAATTGAAAATAACGGTAAATAATTAAAAGGTGAGAACAACTGCTGACTTAGAAGATAAAAAGAAGAAAAAGATACAGAATCATTTGCAAAATGGAATTGGTAAGATATGCAAAAGAAATAAGTGATTATCACACTCCAAATACAATCATTGAGCCCAATATATATATATATATATATATATATATATATATATATATATATATATATATATATATATATATAG